ACTGTGTGTCCATAAACCAACTGGTATATTTTCTTGTAATTGTTACAACTACAGCATTGTTCTGTATAGCTGAAACCAAGTTCAGGGTGACTGAATGAAACCCTATCACAGGCAGTAAGCAGACTGAGGACCACCTCTAGCAAAACATATAACTCAATTCTTTTTTTAAAATTGTTTTTTATTGAGCTATACATTTTTCTCCACTCCCCTCCCTACCTCCCCTTTCCCTTTCTCCCCTCTCCCGTGACCCCCACACTCCAGCTTTACTCAGGAGATCTTGTCTTTTTCTCCTTCCTATGTAGATCCATATATGTCTCTCTTAGGGTCCTCTTTGTTGCCTAGGTTCTCTGGGGTTGTGGACTGTAGACTGGTTTTTCTTTGCTTTATGTCTCAAAGGCACTTATGAGGGAGTACATATTCTATTTGTCTTTCTGGGTCTGGGTTACCTCACTCAACATGTTTTTTCTAGATCCATTGATTTGCCTGCCAATTTCAAGATGTCATTATTTTTCATTGCTGAGCAGTACTCCATTGTGTAAATGTACATTTCTTTTATCCTTACTTCAGTTGAGGAGCATCTAACATTGCCAAACTCTTTTTATGAGACTACTGTTACCCTGATACCCAAACCATACAAAGACACTAACTACTAAAAAAGAGAATTACAGATCAATCTCACTCATGAATAATGATGCAAAAATACTCAATAAATACTAGTAAACTGAATCCAAAAATATATCAGAAAAATCATCCACCATGACCAAGTCGGCTTCATCCCAGTGATGCAAGGATAGTTCAACATTTGAAAATCTGCCAATGCCATCCACCATGTAAACAAACTGAAGGAAAAAACCCCACATGATCATCTCCTTAGATGCTGAAAAAGTCTTCGACAAAATTCAATACCCCTTCATGACAAAAGTCTTGGAGACAGCAGGGATACAAGAAACATACCTAAACATAATAAAGGCAATATACCGGCAAGCCGACAGCCAACATCAAACTAAACGAAGAGAAACTCAAAGTGATTCCACTGAAATCAGGAACAAGGCAAGGTTGTCCACTCTCTCCATATCTATTCAATATAGTATTTGGAATCCTAACTAGAACAATTAGACAACAAAAGGAGATCAAGAGGATACAAATTAGAAATTTATATTTGCTATGATATGATAGTTTGCATAAGTGACCCCAAAAACTCTACCAGGGAACTCCTACTGCTGATAAACAACTTTAGTAATGTAGCAGGATACAATATTAACTCAAAAAAATCAGTAGCCCCTTTTTACACAGATGATAAATGGGCTGAGAAAGAAATCAAAGAAACATCTCCCTTCACAATAGCCACAAATAATCTAAAATATCTTGGGTATCTCTAACTAAACAAATGAAAAGACCTGTATGACAAGAATTTTAAATCTTTAAAGAAAGAAATTGAAGAAGACACAGAAAAATGGAAAGATTTCCCATGTTTTTAGGTAGGTAGAATTAACATAGTAAAAATGGCAATCTTACCAAAAGAAATCTATAAATTCAATACAATGTCCATCAAAATCCCAGCAAAATTATTCACAGTCTTCAAAAGAATAATATTCAACTTCATATGAAAAAACAAAGAAACCCAGGATAGTCAAAACAATCCTACACAATAAAGGAATTTCTGGAGGCATCACAATCCCTGACTTTAAACTCTACTATAGAGCGATAGTAAAGAGAACAGCTTGGTATTGTCATAAAAACAGACAGGAGGACCAATGAAATTGAATCAAAGATCCAGATATGAACCCACACACCTAGGAACACCTGATTTTTGACAAAAAGCTAATAATATAAAATGGAAAAAGGAAAGCATAGTCAACAAATGTGCTGGAATAACTGGATATCAACATGTAGAAGAACGCAAATAGATTCATCTCTATTGTCATACACAAAACTCAAGTCCAAATGGATCAAATATCTCAACATAAAACCAACCACACTGAACCTCATAGAAGAGAAAGTGGAAAGTATACTCAAATGCATTGGCACAGGAGACCACTTCCTAAATATAACTACAGCTCAATTTTTAATGAGGGACATGGGGCCTGAACCAGCCATCTTCTGTAACCAGATAAGGCTTCCAGTGGTAGGATTGGGACACCAACACAGCCACAAAACCTTTGATCTACAATTTGGCCTGCTTGCAAGGTGTGCTGGGGTAAAGGTGGTGCAGAATTTGTGGGAGTGGCCACAAATGATTGGTCTAACTTGAGACCCATGGCATGAGAATATGCCCATGCCTGACACTGTCAGGGGGGCCAGGAACCAGAGGCTGGAGAGCCCAGAGACCTAGGATAGAACCAAACACAACTGGAAAGAAGAAAAGAAACAGTCAACGAAATAGTTCCTATTGATGTTGTGCTGTACTCATGAACTGGAGCCTTAGCATAGTCATTGTTCGGTTGGAACCTCTAACTAGTCCTTGCATGATCCAGAAAGCTTCACTCCTCTCTCTCTCTCTCTCTCTCTCTCTCTCTCTCTCTCTCTCTCTCTGTGTGTGTGTGTGTGTCTTTCAATCTTCAGCCCCTTGCCTGACTTGCGAACCATCCTGTGGTGTACAGGCAGGCCAGTACACTCTTACACATTACCAAGTTTGGTTGCCAGCTTCAGGTATAGCCTTGCCTCTCCTGCCATATCCCAGACCACAGCTTCTGTGTGCTGACCCTGAGCAAACATGCTCTAGAAGATTTCCCTTCAGTGATGCTAGTCTTGTTAATTACAGCATTTGTTGTGCCAATAACGTGAAGGGTTCATGTCCACAGATTCTTGATTCAGATATATCACAAACAGCTTTGAAATTTTTGGTTCCCTCTGAAACTTTACAAGCCAGGCCTCCTTCACCTGCACTTCTTCCAACACTATTGTCCAAGTTTCCACAAGAACTCATTCAGTTTCTAGCACTCAACAGTTTTCCCAGCTCAAAGCTCCCAAACCATCCCATAATTCTCCCCCAAAACAACATGGTCAGGGCTGTCCCAGAAAGACACCACTCTGGTCCTAATTCCTACCCTAGCTTGCTTTTCTGCTCCTGTAATAAACTATGAGCCAAAACTGGCTTGGGGATAAAGGGCTTGTTTCAACCTCCACTTCCACATTGACCATCCATCATGGTGAAGAAACAAGTCAGGAAATCAAGGCAGGAACCCTTGAGGCAGGAACGCGGAGGCAGGAACTGAGGCAACAGCCAGGAAGGAGTGCTGGCTTACTTCCTCTAGCTTGCTCAGTTATTTCTCTTATATAGACCTGGCTCATCTGCCCAGAGACAGCACTGCCCATCGCTGTGTGGATCTCCCCACATCAATCATTACTCAGGAAAATGCCTCACAGCTATGCCAACAGACCAATCTGATTGAGGTAATTCATCAACTGAGGCTCTCTCTCCACAGGTGACTGAAGTTTATGTCAGGTTGACTCAAGCTAACCAGAATAATTCTCCATTTAACAAAATCATTAACTACCTTGTACCGGACTTTTCTCTGAGGTGAAAATATTTTTACTTTCAAATAACTATTTTTATTGATACTTAATTTAATTAGAGAAACAAATAATAGAGATATGCTTATTAAAGTTACACTTAGAATTTAGCACTTATGATTAGATTAGAAGTTTATACAAGTATAAAAACATAACATATGTACTAGCAGCAGATATAGTCATGTATCTATACTAGAAGCATATTTACATATATAGTGTTTGTACTAGAAGCATCCATACACACAAACTGTATATGTACTGTAAATATATACAAGCCATTAAGAAGGGAAGAGAGAGCTCAAGCCATTAGTAACGGAGAAAGAGGCAATCAGGGAAGGCCTTTGAGAGAATACTGCCTGAGCTCTGTTTAGGAAACATGCCCTGGGACCCAAAGTAGAAGGGTTCCTCCACAGGTGCACCATTTCCAAAGACCCAGGCACAAATGCTAAGAGAACCAGCATGGGGAGGGGTACGACAGAAGACTAAGTCTCTCAAACGCTAGCGTTCTGTAACCCTGACAATTTGCTCGGACTCATATGTTAATGCCTTGTTTACTTGGTGTTCTAATGAGGCCTTAATAGGATCATGGTTGTCAAAGTTGGAGCATAGCATTTCTGCGCTCACAAGTTGGAATCCGATGTTAGTCTGGCCCAGTTTCCATGTCGGCATTATGGGTAAGCTGATTGTAAAGTTGACTTTCTACATATCTCCATCGCCACACTGTTATGAAATGGCCCAAGATTGGACCTTGGAGGGCCAAGGGGACACGCGGTGGGTGAGAGACAGACACACGGTGCAGACAGAGTTTACATGGAGCATTATATTAAAGGAAGGGAAGGGAGTAGGGGAAAGGAAGGGAGAGAGGGGAGAGAGGAAGGGAGCTCAGAGCAGCCTCATGGGGGTGGGGAGGTGGGGGGAGAGAGAGAGAGAGAGAGAGAGAGAGAGAGAGAGAGAGAGAGAGAGAGAAGCAGAGAGATGCAGAAAGAAAAAGCGGAAAAGGAATTAGGTGGAGTTCCGCCTTTTAAAGGAACAGGGTATGGCGAGGCCCTTTGTCAGGTTTCCCGGGGCTGGGGCCAGATGTGCACGGATGCTAACACAGGTCTCTGTAGTGCTCTTTGCCATGATCCCAGTGAGGAGGCGATGATTCTATACTTGAGTAAATAATGTTTTGACCTGCTTTCTAGATGGTGCAGATACACGACGTGCACCAGCCTGCCTGGTCATTAGAGCACGGAACGGGTAATAAGACGCGAAGATGCAAAGATAACCTCACACGAACCGTTTATCTCCTGATGCTCACGCTTTTGTGTTGGCTCCTCCTAAAATGAGAAGCTGGCCACCGGATCCTTCAACCTAGAGTATACAGCAGAAATGGATAATCCTTACACAGCCCGGTAGCCTCGATGGTCCTGATCACGTGACCCCGTATTACCCTACAGTGAGTCTAGCTAAACTGCTTGAGAGACAGCATGGGGAGACATAGAGGCTGTGGGGAGACATGCCTTGAGACTTTATGTGGTAACATTGGCACAGCCAACCCAGTCTCTCCCATCTGAGCCTGGCGGTCTTTCATGTCTCCAAAGCACGGAGCTTCCAGGGAAACTGCCTGGCTTTTCCTACCACAGTTACCAGGTGAGGATGAGGAAACACTGGAGTCCTACAGCACCCTGACAGGCAGACAGCAGGGAAAGAGGCCATCATCAAACTGGACGGCATGCTTCCAGCTTCTTAACTTCACCCAAGACAAAGGCTTGGACTTCACTTCTCTCCAGGCGGGCCCCTTCCAGCTGACCTGCCTGGACCATCCTAGGCAGGTTCTGGATATGAGCCGGGACTCAATCTGCCCACTCTTCTGCATCTAAACTGGGCAATCCAAAAGGAGGGAGAACTTATCCCAGGCCACTAAAACCACTAAAAATCCAGCATTCCCAGGGGAAATGGACTTAGAGTTCCAAATCTCCTCCCTACTTGCGGGCAGTCTGTCTGTCTCTTTGTGATTGTGTGTGTGTGTGTGTGTACGCATGTGTGCATTCTGTGCTTTTGAGAAAACTTGTTCGCTTGCTGTAATCTTTCTCCCGCCTTCTCGCTCTTTAATCAGCAGAGAAAACTAACCCAACCCAAGTGGACCCCTATGGTAGAGGCACTCTTGGGGGCATGTCCTCCAGGATTTCCTCCAAGGATCACTGGCCCATTAAGGTCGGTATACACCAAATCAAGCCTTGAAAGGGCAGGGAGAAAGTCATCATTGATTGATCAGGGCTTCTTCTTGAATCTAAAATTGGAAAATTCTCCTTGCCAAGATGAGTGTGGCGGAACTCCCTGGCTGGCAATTTCTTTTCGCCCTTTTCTCTGATAGGGAGGATCCCTTTGGAAGATTTTAGCTGTATTGCTTTGTATCACAGACCAAGAGATTTTTTTCCCCCCCAGATAGTTTTGGCCAAATTGCCCTGCTGGCAACCATCCCTCGGAATGAAGTCGAAGACCTCTTATCTGACTCCAGGGAGACTCCACGAACTTTGCTCCCGATTCAAATCTTCAGCTTTATCCTGCTGATTGTAGCCTTCTCTAACCAGCAGCCGGAGTCTGTCAGTATCTTATCGTCCCTCTGTCTGTGTTTATCTCCCTTCAGTAAACCAGAACAGGGCCATTAGCAAAGCAGTTAAAAATATACAAGAGGTATTTAAACAGATTAAGTTGTTTGGTGGTGCCAATGCCTTGTGCTACCCCTACCAGAGACTGGTGAATAGACATTAACTACCTCCCCCTACTGCCTGAATTTGGCACGGCTCAAAAGAACGCTGGGCAACGCCTTGTGGGACCTAAGGGGCTGATCCAGAGAAAATCATCTGAAAGAGGGCCTCTGTGGTGTCCTCTACTGGATTTCACAACAAGGAAGACTCTTCTGGGGAAAAAAAATCGAGCACATGTCTTTATTGCCTGTGGCAGAAGTGGGCAACTTTCTTTAAAGATACATACACAGATAGCATTAGCTTGGAAGCAGCTGGGAGTATTAGTTTCTTTTTGTTCCTGTATTCTGCTCCCCCCCCCCCCCGTAACCTCTGTGACCCCATGAGAAACTGGGCACAGAAGCAGGGAGATTCATGGTTAGAGAAGTTTCTCCTCATTTAGTTTCTCTATGGATATCACACACCTTCCCCATTTCCCTTGGCCAGCTGGGAACTTTCAGAACTGGCCTGGGGGCCATTGCCTTATTTTTGGTTAATTATATGTTATTGTTTTAGATGCACCTGGCCCCCTCCCCCAATCCCCACCCTGCACGAGGCCTAGATCTCTTTGGTTTATATCACCCCTTAGGAGGATGTTAAGCAGTTCTACAACCTCCCGGAAAAAAAAGAAAACTCTTTTGATGACAGACTCTTCTCAGGTTGGTTTCCCCTTTTATGGATGAAGTTAGGAGAGAACCGATGTATTTTCAGGAGTTGAGGTGTCAGGAATCTCTAGTGTACATGGAAAAACAACAGGAACCAGGACCAGGATGGGCACGTTTGAATTGTTCCCACTCTGGGACCTGGTCCCAGGCTATGAAGGGGGTCATGGCAATTGCCCCATCACAGGTCAGAGCTGCATCTCTGGACTTAGGGCTGAGAGATCCGAGGAAGGACAGGGGATCCTCTGTTGTTGTCTACCATTTTGCTTTTTCATTTTACAGATGGGGACAGAGGCCTCCAAGATTCCTCCAGGCTCTCTCCTGGCTTGCCTACTGGGCAGCTGAAGCAAGTTGAACTGTTAAGTGGTTAGGAAGAAAGCCTTCCTTCTTTTTTTCTATACATCCCAACTACCCTCCAGGGTATGGGTTTGTGACCCCAGGGGGTCAAACCACCCTTTCACAGGGGTCATCTAAACCATCAGAAAACACAGATATTTACACTAGGTTCATAACAGAAGCAAAGTTACAGTTATGTAGTAGCAACAAAAATAATTTTATGGTTGGGGTTACCACAACATGAGCAACTGTAGTAAAAGGTCACAGCTTCAGGAAGGTGGAGACCGCTGGTCTAGGGGATGATGGAAATGGCCCTTGAAAGAAACTTTCAACTTTGATGCCATCTTCAAATGATACTTCTTTCGTTGGTGAGAAGTCCTCCAAAATCCCCTCTGTCCAACTTTTCTGTTACCTGTGAGATTGTCTGGAGCTTGTCAAAGAGTGCAGGATGGACCCCCAGACATTAGCTGCCGCATCTTCCAAGCCAGGAAAGAAGGGAATGAAAGGGTACAAAGACTCTCACACAGGAAAATCCTGGGAGTAAATGAAATACCTCCAGGATCCTATCCTGACCTCTGGAGACCCAAGGTTCAAGGAGAAAGCATATATTTGCTCTTCTTTCCTAAGGAGAGACACAGGACTGTCCTGCTCCCCAAGTCCGGGAGGGGTGTTTCCTTTTAAGAAGATGTCAGGAGGAGAAAACAGAGTCATAAATGTCCATACTTCCTTTTCCCTAGCAGAACTGAATATCATCGGAAGAGAAACTGGGAAGTCACACTGAGGATCCAGACCAGAGGTTCTCAATCTTCCTTATGTTCTCAATTTTTAATACAGTTCCTCATGTTGGGGTGACCTCTAACATAAAATCATTTTTGTTGCTACTTTGTAACTGTAATTTTGCTACTGTTATGAATTACTATGTAAATATCTGGGTTTCCATTGGTCTTAGGCGACCCCTGTGAAAGGGTAGTTTGACCCCAAAGGGGTCAAGACCCACAGGTTGAGAACAGCTGATCTAGATCAACATGTTCAATCATTTGAACGACCAGCTAGTCAGACACATGAATTAACTTGGAGAGAAGTAATTCTATTAGAACAAAAACCCCTTTAACAAAGAGGAGAGTATTGAATCACACTATCTGAGGGTTAATGATTTCTTCACTTCTCAGAGAGCAAAAACTTCTCCATGAGGATGAGGCCAAACCCTCCCAAAATTCCACTGGGACCCAAACAATGAAAATGAGAATGTAAGAAAGAGAATTTCTTTTCCTGACATTATGGTTTCAGCAAGGCTAAGGTAAAACTCTTTACATACTCCCTCCCAGTTATCCCATATGCTCCAGAAAAAGAAAGAGGACCTCATACTTTTCCTCAAATGAATGCAAGAGGCCATGACGTGATACACCAGCCTAGGATCAGGACCACAGGGGCAGCTACTTCTGAAAGACAAACTCCTACCCCTGTCAGATCCTGACATCCTCAAAGCTGATCCAGTCAAAACGCTGGATGATTCTGTCCAGGCTGAACTGCTCCTTTTATAGCCAGGACCAGGAAAAAGAAATGAAAAAGGACAAGTATAATGAATAATTAATGACCACAGAGGGCCAACCTGGTAAGGGTTTTTCTCCAAGGAATATGGCCTAGGTTTAGGAGCTAATTGCTCTGTGGATGGGACTTTCTCCCATTCACATAATTTCAATTGGGATTGCCCTTAGAAACCAATTCCTCCCTTGGGGCCCTGTATATGTTCAAGCGAAACCATTAGAATTGGTGACTCCAGAACCAATCAGATTGCAAGTCATCATCCTCTCCACAGTGTAAGTCCTGGGCCTCCTATATTGGCTCCCATTATGCCCATCAATCTAGAGGATCCCTGGGCAATTTTGACTGTAGAGGGTTGTCTTGATTAGGGTTTGTACTGCTGTGAAGAGACACCACGATTACAGGCATTCTTATAGAGAAAAGCATTTAACTGGGGGCTGACTTACAGTTTCAGAGGTTTAGTTTGTTATCATCATGGCAGGGAGCAAGGCCGTATGAGGAGAACATGGTGTTGGAGAAGTAGCTGAGAGTTCTATACCTCGATTTGCAGGCAACAGGAAGTGAACTGTTCTATAGTGGATGTAGCTTGAGCATAGGAGACCTCAAGGCCCACCCCCATAGTAACACACTTCCTCCAGGGTCACACCTACTCTAACAAGGCCACATCTCCTAAGAGTGCTGCTTCCTATGGGCCAAACATTCAAACACATGAGTCAATGGGGGCCATACCTATTTAAGCCACCACAAGAACTATAAGGTGATGTTTATAATTGATTTGAGAACACGGTTCCTGGCATTGTCTACTCCCTCTGATCTCAGATCCCCCCAAAACATAGCCATTCAGGGGATTTTGGGCAGCCCTTAAAATGTTACTTTATTCACTTTTAAAATCTCACTTGCTTGTTTCTGGGAGAACTAGAAATTATTATTTTTAAATAGTTCCCAGGCCCCTCTGTTGAGAAAAGACCTCTTATCAAAGCTCAAAGTCCAAATGCTTTTCCCTTTGGGCAGCACTATTGCTTTCTCTAATAAATAGCAATGTCAAGGCCTCAATATGGACACATGGCAACATGATAGGGAGGCTTAAAACAGATAGTCTTGTGGTCATATATCTTAAAGAACCTATACATTTTCCACATCGAAAACAATATCCCCTTAGGGCTATTAAGTCAGTCAGGGACTAGTTCCCCATAATTCAAGGACTGAAGAAAACAAGGATTATTGAGACTGTTGTAGTCTATACAACAGTTCTCTTCTTGGTGTTGGCAATGATCCCAACAAATGAAGATTAGTCTAAGACCTCAATCTGATTAATAGCATGTTGATCCCACTCCATCCAGTAATCCCTAATCTGTATACTCTCTCCATTCAGATTCCTGCAATACTATCTTTAAAATGCTTCTTTTGTATTCTGCTCCACCCAAACACATGCTTGCTTTTTAAGACCCCTCCTGTAGTAGACAAGACAAGACACCTGGACTGTCCTCCCACTCTGCCCTCCCACCATGGTTTAGAGACATTCCCATTTATTTGAAAGAGCTCTTCCTCAATATTTGATGGCATAGATTCTCACCCAGTGATCATCCCTATTCAATATGAAGGTGATGTCCTCTGTGGACCAACAGAAGACATTATTTCCCAAGGAAGCACAGAATTCCTCCTTAGTTTCTTGGATGTCAGGGGTTGCAGGGTGTGTTAGTAAAAAATCCAAATATGTAAAACCAGAGTTATCTACCTGGGCCTTGTCTTGTCAAAAGTAACCAGAGCTTTAGGGCTGGAAGAGTCCCATTCATCTTGACCTTCTGGTTTCCCTAAACCCTTCAACGGATGAGGGCACGTCTGGGAGTTACCGGTTGTTGTATAATTTGGGTCTCTGCTGAGGCAGAGTTTGTTACACCTGTGTGTCAAGTGCTTAAGGAGCTTCAGGCTCAGGAACTCACCAAGGTTAAGAGGACTCTTGCATCCAAACAAGTCTTCCCAAAGCTTAGAAGGTGGCGAGCCCCCTGCCTTGGGCCTGCGCACCAGTCTAAGTTCCACACACAGTGTGTATATGACTGACAGACAGGACACCGAGTAATGACGTAACCCACAGGTGTCTTCTCACAGCCTAGGCGAGGTAGAGAAGAGGTGGCTTGGACGTGGCTGCTGCTGGGCTGCGATCCCCGAGGCTCAAAAGTTTATGCTTGGGCGCCCTCTCATGGTTCACACACTCCATGGCATAGAGGACATCCTAAATTCAAAGGCAAATCTGTGGTTGACAGGACCTGAATTCAGTTAGATATCAGAGGAAGGGAAGGAAGACTCCCCATCCCTCTGGAGAAGTCTTCGTAAAAACCTACACACATCATCCTGATCTCTCAGATTAGCCCTCAGAAAACCCAGATCTGGTTCTTTGTATGGATGGTGATTCTTTGCAAAAGAAGACATCCGATATGCAGGATACGTGAGTCACTAACTCTGATGTTTTTGCCTCAGGACCAATACCTGAAAACCCCAGTGCCTGGCTAGCAGAGCTGATGCCTCCCACTTAAGCCCTGGAACTGTCCCAAGAAACAAGAGCCAGTGTCTATATAGACCCTTCCTCCCCCCCCAACCTGGTCCTCCACACACATGTGGCCATAGGGAAGGAAAGGACCACCTACGGCAGCTTGGACTCCACAAAGCACTTCCAAGATATCCCGAGGCTCCCACATGAAGTTGTTTTGCTCACTCAAATGCCTGGGATCTACTGTCCTGGACACCAGAGGGAATGACTCAGTAACAAAGGGAAGAAACAGTAGTTAACTTTGAAGCCAAGAGGGCTTCCTTGGAGTGCACAGAGTGCCTCATCCTCTGAAGGAATCTTTGCTGCCTCTCAAGAGACCAAATGTTCTTTAGAGGAAATGGCCTTTGCTTCTAAGAGCAGACAGAACTAACCCCCTGAGGATGGTGGCTAACGACTTATGATCAATTGTCATTACTAAAGGCCCTACAATGAAAGGACTTAAACTTCCCCTATCATATGTATTGCTTGGATTCCCTGGATGAAAGAGGTCCACAGGGAAGAGTTTAAAAGACACTGTCCAATCAGCACTACAGGGATATAGTAGAAAATGACTCCCTTTAATGGGCATCTCTCCAGAGACTCAGAGGCATGTCACTTACCCTGGCCTAGCAGCTGGACTCACATGCCCAATGGACGCAGTCCCAAATACCGTCTAGTTTGGGTAGACACCTCTACAGGATGGATAGCGACTTTTCTGGGGAAACAGAAGAAGCCCCAGAAGTGATCAGGGTGTTTCTCTCTGAAATAATTTCCTCTGGAAGGCTGGAAAAGCCAATGGTATTAATGACAACATTAAAAAAAAAACAGATTCAAGGAACCCGGTCTCTGTAGGTTAGGCTATTGCCTCGGCTCTGCTCAGACACAAGGTCTCATGGTCTCATAATTTTAGAGGTCTGACCTTTCTCTACAGGACTTTGTACTGGACTTTGAAATGGTCAGATTTGTGACTCACATCACCCAGTTGGCAAAATTTCAGCAGATTTTTGTCAGGGCTTCAGGCAGGACTTACCAGGGAAGAGCGAAAGGAACTTCCTACTCTCTGTCCCGGGGAATTAGTGCCAGTCAAGGTACCAGATCCCAGTAAAAGCCTTGCCTATCCATAAGATGAGACACGTTGTCAGGGCACTCACAGATGTGAACCCCTTCCACCTTGCCTGAAAGTCAGAGTGCTTGAGTTTATTTTGCTCTCGCAAAGCTGTTACCAACAGGTGTGGTTACAAACAAGAGACACGGACCTAGGGTGTGATTAATTAGTATTTTGAGTGTTGAAGTAGATCTGCTCTACCTGGACCAAAGGGCAGAGAATTCAAGTTTATTCCTTGTGTCATCTGATGAAGTCTGTTGCCTCCCCCACCCCCTTTTGGAGTGAAGTATGTAAGTATGTGGAAAATAAACAAAGGGAGTTCAGTATTCACCGACTGTCCCTTCTGATACTGCCCTGTGTTTCTGTCTCTTATTTCTCCTATGTCTCTGATCCTTTTTCCTAATAACTCTAATCCTCATGCTCCTACCCTGGAATGTATGAGTTTTGTCAAAGCTGGTTTTCAACAGCATGTGCTTTCACCCTGTGTGTCAGCCTATGTCCTGCTACCCGATGCTCTGAGGTTATAGCGGGGGGGGGCGGGCCCCCCCCCCAGAAAGGCAGCTATCCCTGCGAGGACCTCACAAACACCAGCCTTCTACAAAACCAAATAAGATGGCTTGGTTGAGCATCCTGTTGTTGTGTTGTAGTTTTCAGATCCCCGTCGTGGTTATGGCTCTATTTACCAGGTGTGCAATGGTGTGCTCACTGGTGTGATTCCCCTCATTAAGAACCTTCCCTGTCGTTCTGAAAGAAACTTTTATCATCCAATCCCTCTTAGCAACAATCGCCTCAGAATTCTGATTTCATTGAGCCAACCTACAGGGAAGCAACTGATGGAAATGATGCTCATTGTAACATCATTGATCCCAGTGCTACTGGGGGATGTAACCCAATAGAAACCTAATATAACCCTAATGAGAGGCACAGCGATGTTTTCAGCCTGACTCCTCACTCTTTAGCTCACGCACGGGTGTCAGAAGTGGTTACAGGACCACTCTAGACCTTTACAAAGAGGAATCCTTTTCAGGAATACTCTCTATCTTGGCTTTGACACTAATAAGACCACTTTATTCAATCCCTTCCAGGGTAGTTCCCATTTTAAAGACCAAAATTGTTACTGTCAATGCAATGAATGCCCCCAGTCAGAGGAGGCTAACTGGTGGTAAGCTTCATTCCTGGTAAAGAACCTATTCAGTTATGTAAGATTCATGCAGTGTGGAGGTCTGTCCTAAGAGTTCTCTGCCCTGCACCTGCGGGACACTTGTGGACCTCCCGAGTAAACAACCCCAATTGCTAGGAGTTACTTGGGAGATTCCGGGTCTCCCAAAACCAGTTTAACCTAGTGACTAGAGGGGCCCATAGGCCCTCTAGAACCAGCCTTACCCTGTGGGCTGGACAAATTTTGGAACCATTCTGGAACACCTGAATGTTTGCTTACCTGGGAATGGTTTCTATGATTTTCACCCATTAGTGGGATATTTCCTGATTCTGGACCCATCACTTCAACCATCACTGCTCTCAAGCCCCAGCCTTCTAATAAACCAATTTCTTCTAGTGGATGTCCAAACTTAGCCTAAAGAAACCACAGACTGTGAGTCCCAACCATTGTGACCCCTCCTCACAATAGAAGGGGCCTACCTTAGGGATTGGTATGGGCCTACAAATTATAGGACTCAGAATGAGCAACTGTGGAGAAAATATACTCACTAGAAAAGGTGTCTCCATCTAGCATAGGAGACAAGGTTGGATTCTTATTCTAAGAGCGAGGGAGGGGCTCATCCTGACTGATGGAAACCCGAGATTAAATGAATGGATAGGGCCCACAGAGGGTTATCTTCCAAGGATAAGCCTCTATGTAGCCCAGAAAGGAGCAGGTATCCAGGCTCAACAAGGTATGCTCAGCGTCCTAATTCAAATAGGATCTGAACTAGCCTACCTGCCTAAAAGCTGAAGCAAGATTTTCACCACCATGACGCATCTCATCTCTGGAAAATGGTCTTGCAACAAGATGTCCCTATGTCCTGATTACCAATGTTCTATGACTGGATGTGGCCATCATCAAACTCATGGGGTGTCTTAGTTAGGGTTTCTATTGCTGTGAAGAGACACGATGACCACAGCAGCTCTTATAAGGAAAATAATTAATTAAGGTGGTGGCTTACAGTTTCATAGGCCCAGCCCATAATTATCATGGCAGGGAGCATGGCAGCACACAGGCAGACATGGTGCTGGCTACAACTTGATCAGAAGGCAACAGGGAGTCAATTAAGACCCTGGGAAGTTCCCTGAGCACAGAAACCCTCAAAACCCACCCTCGGAGTGATACACTTCCTCCAACAAGGCCACATCCACTCCAACAAAGCCACACCTCCTGATAGTGGCACCCCTATGAGATTATGGGGGCCAATTGCATTCAGATTACCACACAGGGCTAGGAAAAATTATTCAGTGTACCTATATTTTGTGTCCATGGGACATTGCTGGCTGATCATACAGAACATAAACCCAGTGGGATTGCAATTCCCTCCCAGACTGTCAATTTAGAAAGGATATGTCTCTACCCTAAAATGAATGGGGCTCAGATTTTACACAGACCTTGGTGTTCCATCAAGAATTATGTTTGGCATGTGGGAAGCGGCTTATGTTATTATATATATGCTGTCTAATGATACGGTTGCACTCACTGACTCGTCATGGGAGGTTTCTCAGCATTCCCTCTCCTCTTAAAGACTCTGGGGGCACAGTTCAAGCAATTAGTCAATTGCATTTCACCCTATTAAACAGGACTTCCATCAACCATATTGTTGAAGAACTCTCCCCATGAACCTTATCTCTTTATGTTCCTGGAAGGTTGTGACCGAAGAGATCCATCAGTTCATCAGACCAACTGATGGGCGACTCTTCCAGCCCATGACAAACCAATGGCCTTCTTCACAAGGCACGGCTTGCAGTGGACAGTGGTGGCAAAGATATCAATAACCTTACTGATTCTTGTAACAAACATGAAAAGGGTTCGTTGGGTGGTTTTATTGCTTGTTCTCTTCCTCTAATAAAGGAAAAGCTGCTCCGACTGTTCCTTTCCTCATACTGTGTGTTAGCAGTAGTAACAGATCACAACAGCAGTTATAACCTCACTCTCTCTGTGTTACAGGTGCGATCTCACCGGTGTGGTGGACACCAAGGGGACACGATGTCAGATGGCCGTCTTTCACTCTGGAGCTCTGCCATCTACCAAGTTCAACCTTGGCTTCTTATACAACTGTCCTCTGAGGCACTATGGCTGCTGTCTGTCTCCACGCCGCTCATCTTGTCAGCAGGAAACAGCCAGAGACACTGCTGTGATGGTCCCTAAATAGCACTTAAAGTGACCTGGGTGTGGTGTGTGTGGGAAAATGGAGGAGTCAGATAACACTTGAAGTTGTTGGGGGAGAAATAAGAAGTCATAAATAAACCACATAATGGCATGACATTTCTAAAATTTCTAAGTGTTGCTCCAACCCTCCTGTCACTCAAATCCATCCACCTATATGTATGTGTGTTAGTATATATATATATATATATGTATATATATACATATATATATATATAAATATAATTCTCACTTGGATATCTAACATATATGTGAAAATAAATGTGTGTAAAATCACACCCCTAATATTAGTGACCTTGAATTTACTTTTTTGTTTTCTTTCTCATTGTAGTAATTGGAAACTTCACCTTGTCAGTTACTTGAGTTGACACCCCTCCCCCCATGCTGTACTCGTTCTTCTTAGTCTGTTATACCTTACCTAGCCATCTGCGACATGTCCCTGACTTCACCTGCTGCTTTGCTGACCTTCCTCCTTTTTATCTGTCATATCCTTATCCATCTCTGCTCCAGCTATTGGTTTCTAATTCTGCTGTTGGTGAGACCTGGAAGACTCTTTGTTCCTGATGTAAACATTCCATGTTCCATCCAGCCTTAGATTCTCTAAGAAAAGGGAAACCCCCTCTGGCCATCATATAGAAAAATAGCCAACCACTGTTCTGTTGGAAGCTGTGAACCCTCAGATCCTGAATTTCTTGTAAACAACTTGTTATGCTTGCAGATGCTCTGAGCACGAGATCCTCAGGAGTTCTTGATGGCAGGGGAGTGGTTTCTGGTGGGTTTGGCTGGGGCGTGGCTATCAGTTAAGGATCCCTATATAAGCTGCCCCTGGATACAATAAAGGGGACATTCTTGTTTCAAGGATGACCCATGTCTTTGTGTGTTTAAATTTCCAGGTCCTTGCCCGGCTCGCGAATGATCCTGTAGTGCAGGCGCCTCAGTACAGGAGTAGTACCGCATTGTCACGCAGTACATTGAGAATGTTTAACTTTTCTGATCTCCAGGCAAGTTTTGTTTATTTAAAATACAAGTGAAATACCACTATGCTACACTCAAACAAATACAAAGAAAGCATACTATCTCGCTTAGTTTGTTTTCTACTGCAGTGATGAAATACCATGACCAAAAGTAACTTTGGGAGGAGAGGGCTTATTTCAGCTTACAGCTTTTTAGTCATCACCCAGGGAAGATAGGGTAGGGACCCGGGCAGGGCAGGAACGGATGCAGAGGCTATCATGGGGGAACACTGCCTTGGTTCTTAGAGCTTGCTCAGACTGCCATCTTATTCCACCCAGGACCACCTGCACAGCGGTGGCGCCACTCCAAGTGAGCTGAGCCTTCCTGTATCAACCCTCAGTCAGGAAAAGGTACCACAGGCTTGCCCAGAGAGCAGTCTGGTGGGCATTTTCTCAACTGAGCTTTCCTCTTCCCAAAATGACTCTAGCTTGTGTCGAGTTGCCGTAAAATTAGCCAGCGCAGTACTAGCTGGCCGTGAAAGAGGAGACAGTAGCCCAAGTCATAAACTTATATTTGAATCTTGCTTCTAGAAGTGGCATCAATGATACGCAGAACAGCCAACCTTAAAACCGGTGAATGGAGTCAGTAAATGCAATCGTGGAACTTGCTTTGTTCAGAAAGACTCAATCTGAACTTTTAAGACACAAAGCATTAATTTTATGTGTGGCGAATCCCTGCTGGCTATAAGCATCACAGAGCATAAGCAAAGCAAGTCCGGAGCTAGGAAAAGCTTGTGTCCTGTTTGTGAACCACTTTTACATTGGGCTTTTTGCCAAAGCCATGAATTTGACTTAAAAATGGTTTCATTATTAAACCCATTACTTTGGAGCTTCAGCAAAATCAGGGAGTTTCTGTGGTATCCGACTGTCTAGGCCACCATTGGAAAAGTGAGCTGGAGATACCAAGCAGATCATCCCAGGAATACACATCCTGTTTATGTACTTGGTTTTAGTTACACATGGGTCACAGAGGAAGAAGGTCATTTGGACTCTCAAAGTCCAAACCAATGACCTTCTTCCTCTGTGCAAAGCTATGAACCCAACCCCATGGGACATTCGGAAGGAGGTCTTCTGTGGTCTCTGTCTCCAACAAACAGAAAGATTACCATTTTGTTTTGACAGTGGGGTTATAGTTGTGTTTATTTATTTTTTCCCTTATTAAAATTTCCATGAAGGGTATGAATTATTTTGCAATATGAAGAAATAAAAGTTATTTTGGAAAATGAGAAATCTTGAAATCATTTGGCCTTCCTTCAAAAAAAAATATTAACCAGGAAATGCATCCACCAGTATCTATAACTGGATTGCTATTGTAATGGTGTGGTTTAAGAATCGCTGAACAGGGCTGGAGAGATGGCTCAGAGGCTAAAAGCACTGACTGCTCTTCCAGAGGTCCTGAGTTCAATTCCCAGCAACCACATGGTGGCTCACAGCCATCTATAATGAGATCTGGTGCCCTCTTCTGGCATGCAAGCATACATGGAAGGAATGTTGTGTACATAATAAATAAATAAATCTTTAAAAAAAAAGAATCGCTGAACATATTAAGGAATGAAAACTTAGTTAGATCCTTAGTTGCAACATAGACACTCCTTTATGCAAACCCCCTCCCATTCACACACAACGAGAGTCAGAACACAGCAACTGTTCTCACAGACAGAGTCTGTGTTCTGAGGAGACTGTTTGATGTGAGCTGAAAATCCTGTCACCCTTGTGTGCACACTCTTTCCTCAAATATTCCTATTGTCTGCTGAAGTCTACGACCCCAGTTTCCAAGCTTCCTCCTCCAAAGGCAAGACCTTGAGAATTCGGGCCACATAAAGGGAGAAGTGTTTCGGGCGAGTTAATAATACCCACTAAAAACTTTTGCTTACAATGACTTTGTTTCTATAGGTTTCAAGTCTCTTTCATCATTATTTGCCAAAATAATGAAGAGTTTTCTTTATAATGCTGAAGGGAATGTCAGCAAGGATATTTATTACATCAAGCCAATGAACTAATTTTAGCAACGGAAATAAAATCTAGGCAGGAAAAACACTGCACTATTTTCAGTACCAAAGAAATAAGTAGCAAGTGATAGTGCCCAAGTCTAGCACACGCAAGGCTCTGGGTCCCACACAGGAACCTGAAAAAAGAAGAGTGATGCACAAAATGTGGAAAAACACAGGATCCAAAGGACAGACACCTTCTGTGTAACCGAAAAATACTTTTATTGAATTTTGGCAACAATATAAAAATCATAGAGGTAGAGAAGACCTTGTTTATTACACAGTAATCTAGATGCTCAACTCAAAGACCAGAAACAAACATCAAACCAAAATAAACTGACAGCCATTTGAGAATTTTCTTTCTTCTCTAACAAAGTAAACAGTAAGAAATCATTTTTACTCAGTGGGAGACAAGTCATCAGGAGAACGTGATGACTACCAATATAAGGGCATCAGTTCATGTAGAAGAGCATCCAATCTCTTGGTTCTGTTATAATTAATGTTCTAACTATGCCACTATGGTCCAGCTATGATGGAGGAGGGTTATCTGTCTATTGTGTTATTTTCATTGGTCAATAAAGAGACTGCCTTGGCCCTTTGATAGGACAGAAAATTAGGTAGGCGGAGTAAACAGAACAGAATGCTGGGAAGAGGGCAATGGGGCAGACGCCATGGAGCCAGCCACCAGGTCAGTCATGCTGAATACTTTCTGGTAAGCCACCACCTCGTGGTGCTACACAGATCATTAGAAATGGGTTAATCAAGATGTGAGAGTTAGCCAGTAACTAACTCTCTAGAGATAATGGGCCAGGCAGTGTTTAAATGAAACAATTTGTGTGTTGTTATTTCCAGGGCTAAGCTAGCTGTGCGGGAGTCGTGTGGGACGAAAAGCAGGCCTGCCCGCAGCTCCTTCTACACAGCTAGACCATTCCTTGGATATAGGCCCTAGAGACTCTAATACGGCATACTGCACAGACATTTCTCCTCTGGGATAACCTTTCTGTATGCTATTACTATATGTTGCTCTCATTGGTTGCTAATAAAAGTTGTTTTGGCCTATAACAAGGCAGAATATAACTAGGTGGGAAAGCCAGACTGAATACAGGGAGAAAGAAGGTGGATTCTAGAGAGACGGGAACAGTAGCCCAAGAAACAAGATGCCAGAAGACTGGTAAAAGACCATGGCCATGTGGCAATACTTAGATTTAAAGAAATGGGTTAATTTAAAGATAAGATCTAGTTAGTAAAAATCCTGAAGTATAGGCCAAACATTCTGTAATTAATATTAGCCTCTAAGTAATTATTCAGAAGCAGCTGTGTGAGCGGGTGGGACAGAAAAACCTCTGTTTACACACTTCCATATTTGTGTTTGTTGATGTACTATTCGCATGTGCTAAGCTAGGGACTTAGCTTAGATGTTCATTAACAGATGCAGGACTAAAAAGATGTGATATCTATCTACCCATCTGTCCATCTATCCAACACATACATGGCAACATCTATCAACCCATCCATCCATCTATCCAACACATGCATGACAACATCTATCTACCCATCTGTCCATCTATCCAACACACACA